GAGTTATAATTTTCCATTTTTATGGACAGGGACTCTTAAAAATTATAAATAATATGAAGACCAAGAAAAAACATACCACCATATTTTACTCTTTAAATAATGAGTTTCACTTTTCTCTTCTGCTTGGCGTAGATGGGAATATTTCTATAATAAAATGAAGGAGAATACGCAGTCAAACTTTAACATTCTTCTACCGCCAGGCATGAAGAATTCATGTAGGGAAGTATTTTTACAATTATTATAAAAATAATCTTACTGACTAATGATATTCTGCATAATGTGAATTATTAATGGGTGCATTCATCCAGTAACTGTAAGGGTTTCATAATTCAAAACTGCTATTAAAACAATCATGCAAAACTAAATAAATGAAAAATCTTGCTCAAACAGAATAAAACCACTCATTTTCACTTTTTTTATTGAATGAGATACTGTGGATATATTTTTGCATCCATTTGACAGCAGACATACACTGTACATGAAGAGAAAATGCATCAAGAATCTCTCTTTAAACAAAAAATAGATAAAAATATTAATAAACGTATCTTCTGCCCAAATTTCACTTCTGTCCATTTCCATTCCTTTAAAGACACTGATGATACAATACATGTGTATTGAAGTTCATATAAAATAACCCATAGTTTCTTAAAAGGAAGGAAAATTTATATCAGAAACTGCTTACAGTACATCAGGCATTGAAAGTCAGTTAACTGAAAGGTTCAGAAGAAATGTTTCCATGCAATTTTTATATTTATAAAAACTCACATCTCAAAATTACACATGAAAGGACATAAAAACTCCATAAATTTTGCACAGAATAAGCTTAAAATCAAGTTACACATAAAAATACTTGAAAATACTTGAAACACACGTATCAACGAAAAATTGCAAATTAAAATAGCACAGACTACTTTTCAATTTGCTTGAACTGCAGAGAGAAGACAAGATATAATAATGGAAGAGAGATTTAAATAATTGATGACTCAAAACCTCAAAGACTACTCAAAACATAAACATTCACAAGTAACCTGTATATTCATTGAGATGCTGATAAGAAGATTTCCAACAATTGCCAGTGCAGCTCCAATGAAAATGTTCTGTGGAAATGATGTTATCACATTGTTATTACAATGCAAAATTACATTTAAATAATTATTTACTTTCAAAACAATATTCTATGGCTAAATTCATACTCTATCTGATCAACAACATGCAAAAAGTTCAGATGAGAACTGACTGAAAATTACCTACCTAATGGAAAAAAAGATAAAAAAAACCTTCCTAATAATTTGATGGAAAATACTTCCTTGATGAAGAGAAAAATAGATTAAATCAAATTGTACATTAAAAAATCCAATTTTTCAATTATACAAGAAATGTGATGACTGGTCTGTTACGTACTTCCAGTATAAAACTTTGCCTTCTGAAAATGTTTGAAAAGGTGAAAATTAAATTTGAAAACTCTACGGACAACAAAGCTCTTTAGTTAATGATAACATCTTTTGAAACTTGTTTGTGGAAGAAATAAAGGGTTACAAAATTAAACCAAAAATACACTAGGAAAACCCTTTTTTGCCTATAATTCGAATTTCTATTAAATAGGACAAATCATTTTTAATGGCTCTGAAAACTTAAAACAAATAGAATAAAGCAGAATATAGAATTTCATTTCCTTGAAATATTAGACAGGTGAATTGGTTTCTTGAAACAAAAACAATCCAGTTTTCTTTCCATAGCGGCAAGAGTTTACAGTTAAAAAAAGAGTTATTGTTTCAATTGAAGAGAGCACAGTGATAGATAAAGAAAACTCAACGCGGATAACACTGCAAAAATAATAATATTGTAATACTAGTAGTATGAATTCCCTTGGCGCGGGAAATATGGTGTCAAAATTTGTCAAGCATGTAAAACGCGTCAAAGCTGTTGCCGAGTCCTGACCGACGCGGGACTAGAGTTGTGTATTTCACTTAAATTTCATAATATAGATATATCCCTGGCTTTGACAATATATTCTTATTTAAAACACTGGTTACGCGTGTTCAATCAAGTCTAGTGCATTAGGAAATAATAAAAGAACCGAAGCGATAAAACTTGAATTCCACCCTTCGATCGCAAAGATATTCGATCGATGAAATTTACAACGGTTGTGCATGATCTCAAGACTTTTACCGAGCAGATTAGCGATCGAAGCTTCGTATTCGAATCTCTTGAGAATAGAAGAACAACTAATCAAAGTGAATCTGTTCGTGATAGTTTTGCTTTCCATCGCTTGTAAAAATAAAAAGTTGAGTTTGAAGGCCGCCACAAAATTACGATGAGCGTTCCATTGAAAACAATAGCACTGTAACCCTAAAGCTCAGTGTTAACAGTTTAGAAAGAAATTGTCAAAATAGGTTTATAAATTGTAAATTAAGCTTATTCGATCAGAGATCTAGATGACATAAACTTTTAACACACCTTTGACGAGAGCCCTTCGGTGCCCATATTTTGTACACCATCCATATTTAGCCAAACTCAACATTGGCGGCTTACAACTCAGCAATTTCGATGAACAGAGGAGATTCGTAGCACATTTTGTGCCTGCGTCAAGGTACAACCTGTCGTCTTTGGAAGGACCAGAGAGCGAAGCGATTCCCGTTCAAAACGAGAGCAAACCACTTGAACCGTGGCTTTCAAAAGATACGGCATAAATTAGCGCGAAGATTACATTCGCTCTCAGTCTCCAGAGAAATCATCGGTACTTCCTTTTTGCCAGGCTGCCAAGCTTATCCCCCCTACCCACCCGGGTTAAGAAATTTATTTTTTGATGACGAGAACATTTAAGGCACAGTTTTAACGCGAAGACCAATGACCGATTGAGAAATTTTTAAATTTTTAAATTAATTCTGCAAAAATTGAATACAGTTGTCATTCTTCAAAACAAAAACTAAAAATAGTTTGATCTTAGAATGGATTTTGATTTGATAAATCTTTGAAACAAATTGGGTGTACAAAAATACTTAAAAGTAATCTTCAGCGATAATACTTTGAGTTAAATATGCTCGTCTTGGCTGACAAGGCCTGACAATGCCGTTCGATCATTTATCCGGCTGGCTAGGGCTTGAACCTTCTCCCGTGTTACCCCTCCCTGGTCACAAATAACCATCGTTTCTAAGAAATTATTACCCAGAGTTCATAGCAAGCTTTTTCCGCCATCTTAGAAGCATCGGGGGAGGATCGGTTTTCGTTTTGGAAAATGCCGTAGAAAAAGTACTTTGTGGAGGAATTTAATCAATATTGCCCTTTGTGTGGCTTTGAAGAGGACTATCATCCATAATGTTTGAAAAGAATCTTACGGATCTTGTCCGTGGCATCAGGAACAACAAAAGCAATGAGGTACATAGAACTAGGTTATACGATTTCCCCTCATCACATGAGCATATTTGTTACGGTCAATTATATGGACGACGTGGCATAGACAAACATATCATTCAGTTTATTTTGATCTCTGTTATGTGAAAATGTGTGCTTAACTCGTACATTAAAAAGCTCGGTTATGTATTTTTGATGCTTATTATTTAGATTTTTTTGTTGATAAATGAAATGAATTGAAATGCTTGTCTATTTGTTCGCTGTAAAATTGACCTGGTAAATGGGTTATTACGTTTCCTTGGAACTAAACAATATTTATTATAATTGTTAGACATGTGTGAGTTTTAAATAGAGTATTAAGTTGTTGCAAACTTGTTTCAACTAAATCAAACTTCACTTTTGAATCATTACACTAAATTGAAACTAATAATTCCTGTTGTATTACATGACAGGCTAAATACATTGCAACCTGTCTAGATGAAATAAAACAGGAGCTTAGACAGGAAAATGCTGCTGTAAAGGCCAATGCAGTCTCCAAACTCACTTATGTAAGTATGTTTACCCTTAAATGTATGGCTTCAAATGCTAATAATTTCCCTAGTAATGAATGTTTCTTTGAGTGTTATGTAGGCTCTTAATTTAAAAGCACCAAAATTGATGATATCCCTTTATTAACCAAAAACTAGAGCTATTAGTTTCTTAAGAAACTGCAATCCTGCATCACCCAGCAAGTGAAACATTTACAGCTGATCTGCTCTATTAGAGGGCTAACACTTATGAAATTTCAATGCACTGTCTTCTCATGCCTGTCCACTGAAATACAACATTTAATAGAACAATTATCTAAAACTATTCTAGTGGAAAGTTCAAAATTTTTTTGCATTTACTCACTGGCCCTTTTAGGCTCTTTCGTCATCATAATCAGTTCTCATCGCGCCATCGGACACATAAGGCCTTTAGGCTCTTTAAGGCCCTTTAAAGGGATACGAGATTAAACAAGAAAACGGGACAGAACCAGCTGCTAGTTTAAGTTTAATCCCTTTCATTCTTATTATGACCTATTACAGGAGGCTCAATATTATACCCTGATTTATTAAAACACCACTATGCCGGACTGATACCGCTATACTGTACTGATATGTTTGTTTTTTTAAATCATTGTATAAACCACTAGCTTCAAATGCTGGGCTATGACATCAGCTGGGCTGCATTCAACATCATAGAAGTCATGAGCTCTTCAAAGTTTACATTCAAGGTAACAAATTAAATTTGACATCCCATTTAATATTAGTATGGGAATTAAATTGTAATTCCACATGTACATGTATGTATGCACAGTTGAAAAGCCTCTGTACATCAACAGGTGACATATTCCCTAACTATAACTAGGAAATTTCTATGGAGCTATGGTGTTCTGGCTGTTAGTATATAAGGCTTCAAAGTTTGAACCTAATCTTACATTGTTGTTATGTCATGTTTTATGGCAAGAAACTTCTCAGGTATTTGTATATGCATTTACATTTGCCATATCAGTTCAGACACCTTACCATTTGGCGAGTTGTTCAGCTGGGTTTAATATCCACAGCCATGCACTCTGCAGTCTGGTACCTTATCAACTACACTACTGTGGTGTAACCAGGTAGTCGTGATCAGGCAAACATGCCGTACAGTTTCAGGATATCACTGACAATTATATGAATGTGTACTTTACCCACCAATTCCTGAAGAAGAGAGGAACAGGAGCAGTGGATTATCAAAAACTTGCCTGTTCTCACATAACTGAAATATACACATGTAACATAGGATCTATAATTTTATAGAACTTTGTTTATTATTCCTGGATGGTTATCAATGCTTGATATTTGCAAGTCACATTGTCAATTGTTGTCTTTTAAACAGAGAATTGGTTATCTGGCAGCATCACAATCATTTCATGAAGATTTGGATATTCTCATGTTGACAACAAATATGATTAGAAAGGTGTGTAATAATTCTTTATCGAACATTATGTCATTATTCGCGTGTACATTTATTTACTGTTGGGTCACCACTGACTGTCCATGTTGTATATTGGACAAATGATAATAAAATTAATTTTTGTTATTATTGTTCCTCAGGACCTGTGTAGCATGAACATGTATGATGCTGGTGTTTCATTATCAGGGTTTGCTTGCTTTGTTACTCCAGATTTGGCAAGGGATTTAGNTAAGACTCATAATTTTAACAGCTTTTTACCTTAAAGTTTTATATTTTACTTTTATCGGCGAAATGTATATGTAATAGAGAAAGATTAATTATACTTTGTTAATGAGTAAAATATTAATAAGTGATTTCTTTTTCAAATTATAAGCCTTTTTGAAATGCAAATAACTGGACTGTTTATGTTTGGTGTTTGTTTGTTTTTTTTCAACCTCTCTATGAATACTTGTTTTATGTTATAAGTATGGTATTTCTAGTCACTGATAAATTTGTTGCGATTCTTGTCACAATGTTGTTGTAATATTATTTCTGACTCACAAGCAGAAAATTGTTTGTGTACTCTGTTCCTCAGACACCACTGGGAGCCATTTCAAGTCGACTGCAGCAAGCCCAACCTTTATTCTCAAAATACCTCCATTGAACATAGTTTTTACATGGTCTTGAGCAAAAAAGATAGAACTAGTCTACGATGATACAGTTACAATCTCAAAAGAAGTGCTGAAAAAGACTAACAATTCTAAAGGGTGAGAGGGTGGGAAGGACAGACTAAGGCAGACAGCTACAAGAACAACTGACTGCCTTACACATCACATGACCTTAATTAGCACCAGGCCCCAGCAGTGTGTGAAAAACATTTTCCACGAAATATTTTGTTCTACTCAGCCAGTGGAAAATAAAACTTAAAAGAAAGTGTTATTTCATTTTAAAAATAGATTACAAATAGAAAATTTGAATAACAAATGACCAAGGTTGTGACATTTAGTGACTCTGACAAGAGAATGAACGTTGAATGGTGAATTATTTCCTATGAAAAAGTCTTATTATGCTTGCTTTCTTCTTGTTGTTTTTAGTATGAGTTCGATTGAATTTCTAATTGCTAATGATTAACAAAATGGAGTCATTGTTTCCACAAAGTAATCTGCATTTGTTTTGGTTGTGATTTTGTTCTTCAGCTTGTCTCAACCAAACCTTACATCAGAAAAAGAGCAGTGTTGCTTATGTATAAAATATTTCTTAAGGTAAGGACATTTGTTGGTTGTCATCACCAGCACATGTTGTGATCCAGAATCCATAGCATTTACAAATTCCATAGTATTAATACTCCCTGTTGGGAGGTGCAGTGGCCTCACGGTGAGAGTACTGGTCTCTGGATCAAGCGGTCAGGGCTCGAGCCCTGGTTGGGGACATTGCATTGTGTTCTTGGGCAAGACACTTTACTCTTACAGTGCCTTCTTTCACCCAGGTGTCTAAATTGGTACCAGCAAACTTAATGCTGGTAACTAGCATCCCATCCAGGGGGGAGTAGAAATACTCCTAGTCACTTCATGCTTCAGAAACTGGGATAAGCTCTGGCTTGATGGGCCACTTGGCTTGTAAGCAGACTCTACCTAATGCTCCCTAGGTTCTGATCTGTCTTTTTAGGACATGAGCATTTGTCACTCTTATAAAAACAGTTTTTTTGTATATCAATTAATGTAGTAATAATTTGTAATATTATTTTGATATCTAGGAATTATCTTTTTTTGAACAAATAATTGTTTAAAATCATGAAAACAAAAGCAGTTTCAAGGAGCAGGGTTTCAAATCAAAATAACTTAGTTAGTCTTACATGTGAGAATAATAACTTATATTAAGGTGTAATCAAGTAACACAATATAAGGGTTTATTAAGGGTTTAATTATATGCGGCTGTTATTTGAAGTAACATTAAGTTAAAAATTTGACATTTAAGGCAGCTCATAAGACATAGTTCTATTAACCAAGCGATGCCTTGTAATGTAAAAGAATACTGGCCAAATTATTGTTTACTATTTTTTACAAATACAAGATCAAAAAGTGACCAAAAGTTAATCTGTAGTATTTTTGCACTGTTCTGACCTGGCCTGATGCTTATCTTTTAACTAACCTTTACCATCAGAGATTGGAGTTTGAAATAAATAGGGGTTGATTTTAACCGAAGAGAAACAAAAATTAGTTCAAAATAGCTGGGAGTGCGAAATGAGAGAGTTTGAAATAGTCAATGGTAAAACCCTGAACAAAGGGCAAATCTAAGGGAAATAGATTTGATTTGGAAATGGTGAGGAGTATGAAATTAACGGAGGACAAATTAGTGGGCTTCAACAGTATTTAGTTATAAGGAAGTGTTTCTAGCATTTAGTAGGCCATGTTTGGAAAACATAGTTATGTGCAAAAAGTTTTTGGTTGCTAGTCAGCAATCTCCTATCATGGCAGGGAGAAATAGTTCTAAGATTTATGCATTTAATAGTACTTAATTAATAATTAGTTTGTGATATGGTGAAATATTGCAGTTCCCTGAGGCACTGAGACCAGCCTTCCCAAGACTGAAGGAAAAACTTGAAGATGGAGAACCAGGTTATAAGATAAAATATACTATGATTACAATTACAATTTTGATCTGATATGACAAGTGTCGACTTGTTCACTTGTCTCAGGACATCATTGTGAAGGGTGGAGAACATTTTGTGTGGAGAAATTTATTGGAGAGCTACGCTTAGGTGTTAATAAAATCAAGAACACAGTATTGTAATGCTACTGGGGGTAAACTCCGTCTGTGTTTACCAGCCACAATGTAGTGAGTAGGAGAGCTATCTCTGCCTAGTTGTTGTGACATCATCCATGATTTCTTTTGTCACTCTAAGGAAAGATGTCATGTTTCTCAGTGCACTTTTCATAACAGCAGGATCAGCTTTCTTTTCTGTGCCTCAAGTAATTGTCTTTGTTTATCATTGATAGGTGTGCAGTCAGCGGCAGTGAATGTGATCTGTGAGCTGGCTCGTAAAAACCCAAAGAACTACTTATCACTGGCACCACTGTTTTTCAAACTAATGACAAGTTCTACAAACAACTGGATGTTAATCAAGATAATTAAGCTCGTAAGTGACAGCCATTGAATGCTAATTATCTAGTCCCAAACAAGTCAAAATTAGGGCCATGGTCAAGAAAAAAGGCCCAAGGAAGAGAATTACTTTGAGCTGGCTAAAAGGCTTTGTACTTACACATTTTGGATTCAAAGAAAAGAGACACTGCCAGTAACTGCAGCGCCAAAATAGTCTTATAGTTTACATTTATCTCAGGCAATACTGTATACTGTAAGTCTGGAATTAATTTGAACCTTTTCAGCTACATGTAGACAATATCATTTATTAAACTCATCACAAATATATGAGCTTGGGAACTGGTGCCTGAAAGGTTAGTGGGGAGCAGAAGCCGTATGCAGAAGGGGAGGTATCCATGGCAACCCTGGAAGTGGGAACCACCCNCAGGTGGGTTACATTATTTTAATCTTTTCTTCATTTACCCTTTGAGCCCTAAATTTTCCAGGAATTTTAATTTCCACTTTAAACTAATTGACCCCCTATACCCATGTATGATATACCATTTGAAAGCTATTGATCTGTGTATTCCGAAAATTGTATCAACAGCCTCTAAGGACGTGATAGTTTTGACAAACCATGGTTTGAAAGGAGAGAAGGGAAAAGTTCAAAAAAGTCAAAATCTTTATAAATATTAGGTATACCCTAAACTATACCTTATTTTCCAGCTTTCAATGAATAGGTTAACAACAAATGCACTAGGGGCTGCATAATTATTATTGGTGAACAATATCATGTGAAAGGGGCGTCACAATTTTATGCTTTCAATGAGTAGATCTTTACAAGATCATTTTGCTGCAAAAGTTTCATCAAAATCGACCAGATTTGAATCAAACAGTGACATTACAAGCTCATAAGTGCTCTCGTGTGGCAAAATGGTTAATGAGGCTGATTTAGTGGGCTTCTAGTATTGTTATTTGCAGGGTGGAACACAGTCCTGAGTCCCTACTGCCTTTACAAAACAGTGACCGAAACAATGACAAATGTCTTGTTCCTTTGAGAAATACTACAGACTGTACAGAGCTCGTTGTTGCAGCTGCTGGGGTTGCCAATGCAACCAATTTTTTTTTCACTGGCAACTATTTTTCACAGTTTTCACTGAAATACTTGTGCTAGCGACTAAGCCTGAAAACTGGGGGCCAGCTGACCCAAAGTCTTTTTCCTGAAAGTCGAAACCTGCTGTAGGTTGACATTTTAGTTGGTAAGTTACTTAGAGATCATGAAATTTGGCCTTTCAATAATAAATTATCTGTATTATGTTTTCCTTCTTTCCTTTAGCTTTGTGTAAGCAAGTTACGGATTTTGATTGAAGATTCTGATCAAAATTGTAAGATACTTTTGGTCATGGTTTTATTTTGATTCTTATTCAATTTTGTATCACCTTAACTCATTGACACCTGTGTTGGCCGTAACCAACCGTGACAGGCATTGGCCTTTGTTCCACTTCTGACGTCATCGCCTTTCACCAAATTTGGCATCACTTATACTCAAGTTTGCACCAAGAAAAGATCTTTCTAATGACACCCCAGATCAGAGTGATTTGGTCAGTTAAGTGTGAAATATGCACAAAAATGCTTTGAAATTTGAGTGAAAAACATGGAGCAAAATTTTCCTCAACCTCACTTGGCTACCCCTTGGTTAGAATTTCCAGTCTCAATGATGTTTTCTTGAGAATTCTTGATCTGGAAGCAAGCCCAGTAGAAAGGGTCAGCAACTGCAGCAAAACAATAAGAAAAGGCAAAAAAGGAAGGGCAAAAAAAAAAATAATAAAAAATAAAAAACCGAATAATTTATAGCCTTAAGACATAGGTCACTTAAATCCCGTCCCAACATTTTGATTTGTGCATATACCCAAGCAAAAATGACGTAAAAGGTGATGCTAGTGGAAAGAAAGGCACACCGTCATGCTGCAAATTCCTTTTTGAGTAGAATGGAGCTAATTTAGCTCACATCCATGCAGAAAATGTCAAAAATGTCCAAAAAATGCATTTTTGCTAAAAACCTCTAGGTATCAATGGGTTAAGGCATTAAATGACATTAATTTTTCAAAGTTTATTAAATTTTAGGTGTAAGTAGCTTACCTTATCAGGCTTTGTACCTGAGTCCTTTAGACTTTTATCTGGTACACTATTAAAGTCAGGTTTTTAGCCAGGTTTTGAAAAGTGGCCATCTAAAATGTGCTATAGGGCCTACTCAAATGAACAATTTATAAAGCAACATATGAAAAATGACATGATTTTCTTTGATAAGTGGCCATCCACAGGACGCCTGGATGCCCATCTGGCTAAAAGCCTGATTAGAGTGTTGATGCAGAACCCACCTGCATTTCTCCTCTCTTTCCCTGTTTTAGTCAATCAGTAGCATGAGCAAAGTAAGTTGACTTGAATTTAAAGAAGGCAAAAGCTAGAGACCAGCTGTAGAGATGTGACCAGCTGTAGAGATGTGTATCAAGGACTTGGCTAGTACTTTACAGAACTGGAACAGAAATAGTAAAATCCGAACCTTGCTAAGAACCAATCACATTTCAGGATTCATTATTGTACCCTAGCTCTTGCATTATAACTGTTAAATTAATTATTTTGTCATGTAAAGGCAATCATGCTGTACCAGCCCATGAATTTCAACATAACACACTGTAGTTAATCATCCATAGTCGATGTTTATTGCATTACCGTTGCAAGGATTTGTACACAAGTATGTGATACATGTAGTTTTAGTAATACAGGTTATCTGGCTCACATTTTATGCTGATATCCACTAGCATCTTCAAATGGCTGGAGTAAATTATACTTATTAACTTATTGCAAGATAATTATTACTTTATTTGTAGTGAAATACCTTGGATTGCTTGCCATGTCAAAGATCCTGGCTGTAAATCCTAAAGCAGTGCAAGTGCACAAGTAAGTAGACTTGAATGTACACTGACAGTACAGTCAAAATAGTGAATACAGGTATGCATTATACATGTGTCACAAACTTGACAGTAAAATGCCAATCCTAACAGGTACTAGGTATGTGTACCTTTTTAAAACTGCAGTGCAATGCAAAAATACTGGTCAGTTAATGGTAATAAATAATTTTGTTAAGTGTCAGATTGATATTTAGTTGTTTCTCACTAAGTGAGGACACTATTGAAAAATAAAACACCATTATAAAATGTTACCCACAATTAACAGCATACAAATTAAAATTAAGTTCAAAAATTGCTTTCATTTAATTGGTTAATCCACAGACTTAGAAGCTAGTCAAACAATTTTCTTTGGTGGAATAAGTAATAAAGTGCTGTGCTCAATAGCTTTCAATACTTGACACATCTAGGGTTTCATACTCATGCTTAAGAGTTAAAATCACCTAGTTCAGCATAATAATCAGTACATGAAAGCACTAGTAAATAGCTTTCATTTGAATTGTCACACAGTAAGGTTTCATCCACAGAGTGAAAACATTAGAACCACCTTGTACAGCATGACAAACAGTACAACATGAAAGGACTGCTCAATAGCTTTCATTTGAATGGTCACACACTAGGGTTTCACCCACAGACTTAAAAGTTAGAACCACCTTGTACAGCATAATAAACAGTACCATATGAAAGCACTCAGGTAAATAGCTTTCATTTGAATGGTCACAGAAACGGTTGACTCTTAGTCTGAGAAGCAGCACTCTTGACTGATGATTCATGGCTTCTCTTGCAGAGACATAGTTATTCAATGTTTAGATGATAAGGATGAATCAATTAGACTTAGAGCCTTAGACCTTATTGTTGGAATGGTAAGGAAACATGTGACTGTTTGACTAACTATCTACATGAAGTAAATGTGCTGTATGTAGTTTTGTCATAACTGTACAGAATGCTAATTACTAAAAGACTGTTGTTACACTTTTAATCTAGATTATAAAGCATACAAAGATGCCAAAACTATATTACTAAATAATCATAAAACATTTGGGATCATTTAAGAAATGTATAAAACTTACATTTACGTTGTGTCCTGTACATTTCTCTTTGTGAACCACACAAGCTGGGATCATGGCTCTACTTAGACCGCATTTTGTCAACCAATTAATCACATAAAAGTTATTCTCTGGTCCATTCAGAGCAGCAGGAAAAAATCAACCAACATGATGTTTATTTCTACCACTTAGGTTTCTAAAAAGAACATTATGGACATCATCAAGAAATTAATGGTTCACATAGACAAGGCTGACAGTCAAAGTAAGTGTGAAGAGTGATCCAAGCTGTGAAGAGAAGTCTGGAACAAGGAGATAGTGTTTTGATGTACCCCCTTAATTCTCAGAACTAACTTAGGAGAAAATGTTTTCCAGTTGGCGAGGAGAATCAATGTTTCAAGCTTTAAACTGGAGTGTGAAGAGTTATTGCCAGAAGTAATATCTTCTCACTGTGTAATTTGTTGCATAATTTCATTGAAGCATTTAGTTTCAATTGATATTTCTCAATAAAAAGTTGATAGTGTAAGTAACATGGTAAAAGAGATTAGTTGGGTATTGTAGATTCCATCCACTTTTTTTGGCAATCCAAGACATCTGGGTGATATAACTTACAGTGCTGTAGGTTTTGCTGCATTGGATGAACATTCACTGTTGACTACTAATTTCACAACTTTTGATTTGCTTTTTATTTATAGCTTACTGTGATGAGCTAGTATCCAAGATTATACAGATCTGCAGCATGAATGACTATCACTATGTTACGAACTTTGAATGGTAAGGTGATGTTAATGGTGTTAACTACATGTGTACAGGGAGGCAGCGTGGCCAAGTGGTTAGGGTGCCGGACTTGAAATCTGGAGGTCCTGGGTTCAAGTCCTACTCTGACCACTAAGCTGGAGTTGTTTCTCAGTAAACTCCTTGGTCATGCTTGTAAGTAACCAACTGTTTTGCCTTCCGCCAGTTGGGATTTTTAAGCCTATGGTGTTTATTTGAAATATTTCAATCTTTCTTTCAGTTTAAGTGGCATGCATGAGAACTAGCTAGTTGTAGCTAAGTGTATTGACCACCATAAACAGTCAATATTATTTTTTTAACAAAGTAAGAAAGTTAATAGATCATTTACAGCAGTTGATTCTTCTACAAATGAATGAATTGATTTGTTGTTACAACGTCTTTGTTGACCTGTAGGTACATTGATGTGCTTATACAATTAACAAGAGTTGAAGGGACAAGGCTTGGCAAACCCTTGGCCTCACAAATGATGGACGTCACTATCAGAGTCAAGGCAATCCGTCCTTATGCTGTGCAGTGCTTGGTAAGATATGCTCACTTGATACCTTTTTGTAACTCATGATGTAAGGATATGTATGAACACAAGAGAACAGATAACCAGTAATAAATGCAAATATAGGGATCAAAATATTTTGTTTGCAGCTGTGTTTGTATGAACTGTTGTGCTTGCCCTAATGCTATTATTGAAAACAGCCTTATTGGATAGTACAAAATAATTGTAAGTCCTGATCTACACAAATTTTACTCTGATTTTCCCAGCTGAATTATGCAAATCATATCACCAAAACATGACTCTTGGCACACAGATGTTTGGTAGTTGTTTTACAAGCTATTATTTTACACAGAACTCATGCTACTGTGTTGTATCATATTTGACCCCATCAGATTTGGCTTGAGTCTGTAAATTAAATATAGCATGCCCACAGGCAACTTTGCTTAAATGTTACTTACAAATTAAAACAACTTGTTTTTCAGTCTTTGTTACTTGATAGCAGTGACTTGATGTCTGGGCAAATGGAGAAGAACAGAGTCTGTGAAGTTCTTTATGCTGCAGCATGGATCTCTGGAGAGTTTTCAGAGTAAGTTAATTGCCACATGTAATTTCAATGCCAGGGTTTCACTGCATTTATGATCTTACATTTCTTTTGTGCTTCAACAGGCATTTACCAGATATCCACAACACATTAGAAGCAATGCTGCAACCCAAAGTCACCTCACTTCCAGGCCACATCCAGGCAGTTTATGTCCAGAACATTGCAAAATTATTTGCTAAAATCCTTGCCAGTGAGCAGCAGGAGGAAGAGGTGATATGAGTGCCTTTTAGTAAAACTAACTCCACCAGTCCAATATTATAACAGGATTCCCGATTACTAAATTCAATAATTGACTATTTCTTACATTATCTCAATACACCTACACTGTTTTTTTTTATTTTTTTCAATTTTTTTTCCCACAAATGAATGGTTAAGAAAGGGCAAAATACATTTTTCATTTCTCACGTCCATCGGACCGGTGCTTTCCAGGTTTTCATTGTCCAAACATAAAATCCACTTGTCTGAACAAACAATATATATGTTGCCTACTACAAAAAACAACAACAGATATTAATAAAACATACTTTACAGTATATCAGCACATAACTTCATCTACACGTTCAATAAAAGTGAACTAAAATACTGAACAGTATTATTGTCAGTCTGAAAGTGTAGGAGTCAGAAAGAGTTTTTTCTTAGCTTATCTAGGGGAAGGAACAAGGACACATGACTGGGAATGAGATTGTTTTGAACATTCCTGTTCTCATGCTTTGATCTAAGGATCCCTAGTTAGGTTTTACTGTCTATTTATTGATGCTAAGATCTTGTTTGGTTTTCAAGGAAGAGGATGGTGAAAAGACATCAATTGGTGAGAAGCTGGTAGAGAAGTTACCTGTATTTGTACAGAGTGCAGACCTAGAGGTGCAGGAAAGGGTAAGTTGCAGCTATCATGTCTTTTTGCCAATGAAAAATGGAACTAAAACAATGATTATTGCATTTTTAATTAATAAAGGCAAACCTCTCTAAAGAAGACAATTACATGTATCTACGTGTAGTGTTTGTCCCCATAAGTGGAGATTCAACTTTACATTCAAATCAAGTAAAACCAAGCTGTAATTATTTACAAAGATAAACAAACACTAGAAACAAAAGGTGCACTACATGTACACTGATAGTGAACTACTGAATGCTGCTTTTTTCCTCAAAATTATGTACACCTTTTTCGAGGTAACTCCTTTGAGAGCATTTTCTTAGATAATGAACAGTACTTTCCAAACTAGAAATTTAACTAACTTTGGCTTTTTACAAAAATGCATTTATTTTAAAATACCCTTTGTATTTCATATGTTAAACATCATGGCAGAATGTTCAGTAACAGGAGGTGTTCAGTTTTGGAAAATCTCTGCTTGAGAATTAGTTTAATTTAAAAATTTATATTATATTTTTGTTCATTTTAGGCAAGCTGTGTCTTACAACTTATCAAGTATGTCCTCAAGTTACAAGGAAAAGGTAAAAACTATTTTATATGTAAGTAAACTTCAATAGCATTGGGATGTGAAGGAAACTATTGTATGTTAGAATCAAGCACCAGTTAACCATTGAACAGGAAATCCTGTCAAGGAGGTTATGAGGGTAAGGATGGTATCATTTCATATAATGTTCAAACTGAATTAAATATTTCAGGAAAATTATGCAATATTACATGTATATAAAAAGAGGAGATATTAGCAAATCCTGCCCTTTGAACTGGAGCCTCTAAGCGTTAATATTAATATTAATATTAATATAATAATATTGTGTTTCAATCAGGAGTTGATTGCACAGAAGAAGTATCATCCCTGTTTCATGGAGAATTAAATCCAGTTGCTGCCAAAGCACAGAAGAAAGTACAGATTCCTGAGGGGTTTGTTCAAGCTTATTTGTTATTTTTTACTTCATTTTGTTGAATATTATAAAAGTCAAAAATATAATTATGATACTAAATAATGTACGTATGGTTTAGCTGTGGGTACCATCATCATTTCCCTCTCTCTGTAGAGAATATATACTCGTCAATATTGCTAGAGATTTAAATTTTGGTAATAGCGAACAGTGGTTCCCATTTTTTGGTTGTCATTAACCTGTTGAACAACTGCTGGCCAACATATTAAATACCGACACATTACCGACAGTCAGCTGGTAGTAAACTAGTTAACAGAGTTACAGGTAAGTAGACCAAAACTTGACCCAAAAACTGTTGTAGTTGAAAACAGTAAATAGACATCTTTCAACCCTACCTGTTTGTACACTAAAACAGGCTTGTTTAATCCAACTTGCAGTAGCAAATTAGGACAGTCAAGGAATCGCCCTATAATGTATTGGGAAACCATAGTCTACAATACTTCCATGTATGTCACAATTTTCATCATGGCATACCCAATATGGACAAGTTTTACAAGCAAACAAAACAAGATAGGCAATGGCTGTAGTAAATTTTGAGAGTGCAGTGTACAGTATCTCTTTGAAATGATTTTTTTCCTGTTGAGTTAGTTGTTGATTGGAAGCTATAAATAAGTACTGAATGTTTCCAAGAATTGTTTCAGTCCGTGACTTACAGACAGGCAATTAGTTGCCAGTTGCTGGCAGATCACTGATAGGTTGCCAACAGTGTGACTACTGTCAGACTGAAACTCAGTTCACATTGGCAGGAGGTTAGCTGTTTTTTAACAAACACTGTTAAGAGGGTCTTACAGTCTTACAGTCTTACATGGCAATGTCAAATGGGTTGTTTATATTCATTTGGTAAGAAATACTTGATAGATATTGGTTAAATGTAGAAAGTGAATTTGTTTTATACTGTATTGTTAGACTTGACCTTGATAAATGGATTAATGATCCACCTTCTGAAAGTTCGGAGGAGGAAGAGGAGATGGAGACAATATTTGACACTCCAAATGAACACAAGTATGAATATACTATTACTTTTATACCTGTTATGATGCCTGTTAGTACATGTACAGTGGCAGAACTTAATGTTAGTACAGTGGCAGAACTTGCTAGTGCTTATGAGGATCTTGTTAGCTAGAAAAATACATCAATACTAATGACTGATTTGTCTGACATCATCACTTGTCAGTGTTGTTGAATTTTCACTGGAAAAACATTAAACTGACATTATTTTATTTGGTCAGAAAGTTTTATTGTTACAAAGGTGATTTGGGATGCTTATCTATGTGGCATGGAGAAATCAAATGATTAAGTTTGTTCTTAACTTTTCAGAGACCTGAAGCAAAAGCATGTGTCGGATGATGAGGAAGAAATGAAAAGGGTATGCTTGTATCAATTAATTTTTGCTTATTTATAAGTTAAGTTATGATTACATACATGTCCTTCTTGAGTGTTACAGAATGGCCATCTTGACATTCATATTGAAAAGCCCAAGGCTTGTTACAAATCAGATGGTCTGTCCTTCCATACATGTATGCAGCATGTCATGCTTAATGTGGCTGTAATTTCTTTGTTGGTTCTTCCAGTTTCATCGATCATGTTTTGGTGTTTCTCATGAAAGTTGTCTTTTGTGCTATTTCAGAGACGTGAGCAGAGAAAACAAGAGCAGCTAAGTAATCCACATTATTTGAAGATGTCAGCCCGTGAAGGACACAAGGTAACTGCCAGGGCCCAGTTGTTTACAGGGTGTATGGGGGAATCTTGTCCAAGGTCATGAGATTCTCCCATACAGACCAACTAAGTTCAGTTGATAAGATGTTATTATATGGCAAACAAGAAAAATTTCATTCGTTTGATGTAGTTAGTTTGTTCTTGCTGACATTTTGCTTGTAAATGACGGTGAGTTTAGATTGCGGTCAATATCGATTTCAGCCCATCAAATTCTTGAATTCTGTAGTTCTCAGTCCTTGTAAGACACAGCCACATAACAAATGAAAACAATGACTGTAGCTGTAAAACTGCATCTGTAGTGTAAAACAAACACAATTCACTAACACGTTTTGCAACATGCCTGACAATAAACAAAAGCAGGAAAAACATTTTATAGTGAATTGTATTTTTTGGTTATTTCTACTGTAGGCAAAAAAGAAAGATGTAACAGTAGATGATATCCCAGTGGCTAACCTTGACTTACCTGTATCACTAAAGGTGTCAGGAGGTATTACATAAAGATGTTAAGGTGGCGGAACACAGTTTTTGCGCAAGCTTTTGCTGATGCAATTCAGCGCACACACAAGAATTGGAAAAAACAAGTATGCTGTCAATAGAGCCATCCAGCGATCATTTTATTCACTCAACACCCGCACTATCTGTGCTATTTTTCTCTATATTTGAACACAGTGTATTGATGGTTTTAGTCTTTTATTACAAAGATATATTAGAAAAGGTAACAATGCAAAGAACCCAGCAGTTTTCACCTTTTTCTTTGTTACTGAAAAAAAGCCCAGTTAAATGCAGTGCACGCGCAGTTGCTCGAAAAATTGAGACTGATTGCTTTTGCAGAAACTTGCCGACTTCTAACAATCCAGTCATTAGAATTTCAAGAAATTTGGCAAAAAAATAGTTCAGAAACCATGTGAATGATCTATCACAAAAAATCTGAATTTTGACATAGGGAATTTTTAATAATACAGAACATGCAGTGAAAATGATTTATGACGAATTACGAAATTCATGTGTGTCAAAATTTTATTAGAACAGTGTTGACAGAAGGGATTTAATGTCAATTTGTAATGAGAAAATGATGAAAAAATCTAACGACTGGATTTTTTAAATAAACAAAAGCCATATTTTAAGCCTTGTGTTTAACCAGCCCCATTGCCATGGCAACAGCACATACCTTAGCCAAAATGCGAGAATAAACCCTTCTGTGGTTAACCTTGACTCTTGCAAAAGACAGGTGCCGAAGCATAAATGGTTTCAAAGTAATGGTGAATTAGGCATAGGCACTTGAAAACTGTGTGCAGCCACCTTAATTTGCAGATATTGAAATTAACTAAATTAAATGTAATCTTAAAATATAATTTGCACACTATTGACAAGCAAACAGCATGAATGAAGGCACTGCTCAATAGCACTGGTCAGTCATTGAATGGTTAGATCTGCATTAATTAAGGTAAAATTTGTTTGGTAAAAGAATGGTTAGCAGAGGTTGTGGCAGATACAGGCTTGGAGGAGGATCAATGGCCCCATTCTCAGTGGGGACTAAAGGAATTGATGACACAATGATGATTAAATTAAATTAAAATTACACCTTACGTCTATCATCTCTTCAGTTTACTCAATTTTGGTAGAAATTGCATTTAAGGTTATTAATCCTACTTAGGAAACACAAAGCTGAGGTTCTTATCTTCCTTTCTAATTCTGAACTTGTTCTTTGTGCTTTAACTGACGTAAGATTGATCTTTAGGTGTGTCACTGGACAAAAAATATACATCCAGAAAGATGAAGAGAAGAAAGAAGAAAGGTGAGAGTTTTCAGATTTGGTACTGAACATTAAGTTTTCTTTCCATGCTTTTCTTCTCATTCATTAAAGGAGAAGATCCCTCCAGAAAACGCTTTTTTTGTCGATGCAAATAAAAATCTTGCACTACGCTTAGGTACTCACCGAAGTTTCAGCCTCTTTAGTGCAGGTTTTCCTTATGAAATTCGTCTCCAAAGAGGCCCAAAATTTGACCATGTTGCTGCCATTTTGAACAGTACTCAGCAGCCAGGCCACATTTTCGTGACGTTATTCTATCCAAGGCATTTTGTCTGTGGCTTCTATGGCTGCCCTTTAGCTGTGTTATTGTTAATCGCTTGGAAAAAAAACATTTTGCTGACCAATTGTGAGTTGAATAGAATGATGTCACATAAACATGGCCTGGCTGCCAAGTACAGTTTCAAATTGGCAGCCTCCAGAGTCGAATTTTGGGCTTCTTTCAAGACAAATTTCTTCAGGATAGCAGGCACTTTAGAGGCTGAAACTTTGGTGAGTGGAAAACCCAATGTTTCCTGGCTATAGGTGGAGACAAAAAAGTAAGCTTTTTGGAGTGACCTCCTTAAATTCTCAAGGTTGATCAAAAACTTTATATCTCTTTTTTTATCTGTGAACATACTGTCAAACAGGTAATGTATAAATGAACAATTATTCTTGTCACAAGGTCTGAAAAATTTTGTAAACGAAGCTTTCGACTGTATCACAACTGCACAACTGTATCACAGCTGCTTTCGACTGTGTCGAGAAGGGATTATGTGGATGACACTTTCACTAAAATGCACGCTGCCAACATTGATAGTGTTACCCAACAGATCAACAGCATTAACCCTCACATAAAGTTTACCAGCAAGCAAGAGGAAGACAGTAAACTACCCTTCCTTGACATGTGTGTCCATGTAAATGAGGATGGGAGCACAAAAACAACTGTGTATAGGAAACCTCCAACCATCATCTACATCATAAACATTCAGTTGTGAAGACCCTCCTACACAGAGCAGAACACCTTGTTAGCGAGGAGGAAGATAAGGCAAAGGAAGTACGGCACATCCAGAATGCTCTACTCGCAAATGGTTACAAACGCTGGATGTTTAAAGTCCCTTCTCGACCAAGCCCCACAAGTCAGGAGAACAGCACCTCGGAGACACCTAGACCAACCTCCGTAGGCCTGCCTTGTGTCTGGACTCTCAGAACATCTTAGTAGAGTCTTCAGGGCACAAGACATCCACACATACCACAAGCCTTACAACACGCTGAGGTCCATCTTAGTCCTTCCAAAAGACAGGACACCAACTGAAAAGAAGACGAGCGTGGTATACGACATCACATGCAACGATTGCGGAGAGCATTACATTGGCGAGACAGCGAGAACTCGGGAGAAGCGAAACAAACAAACAACATCTGCAATCCGGGAACGCCAGTCTCAGGCCAACCACGAGATTGACTGGGAAGGAGTCAAGATTCTTGATAAAGAGTCGGTAGATATCAAAAGGAAAATCAAGGAGGCCATCCATATCAGATGTCAACGCCCAACACTGAACAGAGACAGGTGCTATGATCTTCCCGCCATTTTTGACCAGCTATTGTCACGCAATTAAACAATTTGCATTCATATGACAACGTGAGCTCACTTTAATTGCTGATGAAGACTGTGCGATACAGTCGAAAGCTTTGTTTACAAAATTTTTCAGACCTTGTGACAAGAATAATTGTTCGTTTATTTATACACCAAGGTCAAGAATGAGCGTACATAGTCAGATAATGTATAACTCAACAGTAGGGGCCTGGATTAATAAATTGATCAAGGCTTTAATTTCTGTTGTACAATTTCTGTTGTTTTTTTTTTGTTTGTTTTTCTTTTTGGTGTGAAAGTAATTTTTGGAGTCATCCAGTACTGTAGAAAACAGAGGTTTAGCACTGATAGGCTGTCAGGCTTATAACAGACTTTTTCTACACTATCTGTTTGCTGTCAGGTCGTAAAGGAAGCAGAGCAGATGAAGAAGAACCAGACCTTGATATCTCATATGAGGTTCTTCCAGCAGGAGCTGGTGAATTGCCTGAGGTGAGAACTGAAATTCAATTTGGTTAATTTAAAGTGAGAGGGTTTAAAAGTTAGAGAAACATTATCAGTACTGAGTAAGTCACTTTTTATAAGCTCAAGGCAGATGCACCAGTTTTCTTGGCAGTGATTGGAGTGACAGGAAATATTCTGTATACTTTAATATTCCACACAGATCAGTCAGATCTGTCATAGATGTGTTCTCTCACTCCATTATTTTGTTTTCTGAGATCTCTAACCTTTGATCCTCAGGGAGCTGAAGAGTCAGATCATGATGAGAAAGAAAAAGATGAACCAGTCGATGCAACAGCTGATCCACACAGACTGTTGAATGTCGACCTCAGCAAGTAAATTATTAATTAATTTTTGTTAAATTTTTCAAAGTGGCCTTATATATCCTGTTTATCAGGACATATATTATAACCCATGTGCTCCACATGGGTTATAAGGAGAGAATAATTATTTTCTGTTCACTAGATTGGTCATGTGGGATAATGGCTTTGTTATAATACTCTAGATGTATGGAGTGGGTGTTAAGCTTAGGTCTGGTTTTTTTTTTCTATTAAAATTTGGGCATAATTTCTCTAGTTAACAAATAGGTTCAATTTTGCCATGCGTCTGTTTAGTATTTGATCATAGATGATGTCAAAATGAGGTAAGAACAAAAAAGTGGCAGAGGAGGTAATGCCCGAGCATTTTGAACACTGATGTTCTTACCACATTTTGACATCATCTGTAATCTGTTACTGAACAGATGCATGGCAACATGGAATCTATCTGTTTTATAAAAATACAACTTTAGAAACAAAAACAAAATGTTAATGGCATCATCTAAACATCTGTCATCCAATAGGTCACAAGTGAGGACCAATCAGAATGATAGAATAATTCGACATATGATATAAAGTGTTATTGAGCAAAGTATTTTATTCTCAGCAGTCTTTTAGCCAGGATTTTAATTGTGGGCTTGCTGCTTGCACATTCCACTAACTAATTGTTTTTTTGACTATAGACCTCTGGAGGCACATGAAACTCTTCCTGTTCGTCAACACCGCGTTGTAACAGAATCACAGCTAAAACATAATGAGGAAAACACTGAGGTTGGTTACACAGGAAGAAATTCTTAAAGTAATTTTATTACTTCCTTTTACACCTCAGTTGCCACAAGTGGACGATAAAATAATAGTTTACTCCATTCTACTTTGAATAAGTTTGAAGGAAAGCAGATTAGTTTCAGTTAGTTATGAAAGGTACTTGTCACAGTCTATCCATTTTCAAGGCTGATATATGGTTGCCTAGTTCCTAGACCTCAATATTTCGCCGCAGTCAATCATTTCTGGTCATGTGGTCTGGGGCAAAAAGTGTGTACTCTGGGCCGTTTGGATACGTCACCAAAATCAATTGACTGTGGAGGCCTGGGAGAAAGCCATACAGGAATTAGGCAAGATATATGGCACATAATTCTATAAGCCATTAATCATAACCAAACAAACCTTAATTTCATTCCATCCCTGTCTGATCCATTTTACTAATTTGTATCTTTTATCAATTTCAGGATATCACGCCAAAAAAGCACAGCAAGGATAAAAAGCACAGACATAGAAAGGACAGTGAAGGCAAAAAGGTAAACTTGTTTGTGGATGGTTCATTTGATTTTTATCTAACTAGTTATTGCAAACAATTTTAAATTACCTAAATTACAAGATCTTGATTAATCATACCTAAGTTTCCAAGCCTTCACTGAAAATGGTCAAACCAATCCTTGAGGTGCAATTTTACAATGTATAGTATACCACAATGTGATCTTCCGTTGTATATCAATAATAGTGGAGCACCTGCCACCAAGCAGAGCACCATGCTCATATAGGGAAGAAAAGGCTATCCTCACTAGCAGTATTGCTTGTAGGCGCATACACATGACGACGACGATGGCGTCGCACAACATGGCGGCCATACTCCAGCTGATAGGGTGACTGAGACGTGCAGCCTTGGTTTATAGTGTACTTTTTTGATATTGGACATCCATGATATGGTCATTTGACACCTGTCAAAACATGTTATCTGCTGATCAGTATCACGTCACCATATGGCGGGCTCAAGCTTAGAGCTCAAGTTTAGAGTTCTTGATTGGATCGCAGCTCAACTGAAGTTAACTTGTTATAATCAGGACCGGGTTGTTCGAAAGCCAGTTAATGCTAACCTGGGATCAAAAGTTAACCAAAGTATAAATTTTTCTTGTATAAAAATGTTTTTCACGCTTATGTTATATGTGTAGTTTAAGATTATTCAAACTTAAAAGAGAAGGCCGAACAATATAAACAGAAAATCTCACTGCAAAGTTACAAAAGTCAAATCAAAATTCTCATTTATCCTGGGTTAGTTTAATCAGGTTTTGAACAACCCAGCCCAGGAGCTCTGCTTTTAGGCTTGGCTAAATCTATATATTATTATTACTGTGGGACAATTACTTTACTTTAATGATAATTTTCCCAGAGTAAACACAAGCATAAAAAGGATGGAACTGACAAGGAGAAGAAATCAAAACACAAGCATCACCACCACAAGGAGGAAGGTATCTATTCTACTATAATACTGAAATCACAGAACCAGAGTCTTTGAAACCAGGTTTTCTTTAGACCTTTCCTTAACCAATCGAGGCTATTTTAGAGTTCTGAGGACAAACATGAACAGTGGAGACTGTGCTATTTCAGTTTCAATACAGTGGAACCCCACCTCATGACCACCCTGTTAATATGGCCTCCTCATTATTACTGCCACTTTATTCTGGCCCGAACAAAAGCTCAGTCAGTTGTTTTCTTATTTCAAGAACCCCTCTAATGTGGCCACCCCTGTTAATATGGACAGATTTTTGTGGCCCCTTGTTGGTCAGATGAACAGGGTTCCACTGTACTTGTCACACTTCTGCATTTGATGCCTTGCCAATCTTCTTTTAATCCATCTTTTTTTTTATCTTAATCAAGTTGCAGAGCCTGTTGAGGATAATCTCATGTTCAATGGAGAGGTAGACCATCCTGAAACACCACCAAGAGAAGATGAGAAAGAGGATAGTGAACAAAAGACTCCTTCAAAGGTGATAACAGTACAGGAAGACTATAAACCAGCTGCAGATGAACCAAGTGACCCACAGGTACAAAGAATGATTCTGAACATTGGCCAAGTAGCTGACAGAGCTTATGCTTATTGAACTCTGGTTTCTGAAGCTTGGCATGTGTAAGAGTGTTGCCATTCCCCCAGGATGGGATGCTAGAGTATCACAGTCCCCCATCCCCATCCCCCCATCCCCCCATCCCCCCCCCTACTATTTGACAGATTCCCTTAACAATTCCCTGGTGCTCATTGCTCATTTGCACTTGCAAGAAAATAAAGTGTCTTCCCCAAGAAAACACAACAATGATAATAACTACCAGATAACAACAATGTTCTACACAGGCCCAAAACCTAAAACTTTTTGTGTCGTTCAATAAAATAATGTTAACACCTCCTTGCCTGCCATACACCGAACTAGGGAAGAAATATGATGGTTATGCAGTAGTCAGAGTTTCATTGATGTAAACTTCTTGAAAAAGACATACATTATCCTTGACTACATTGAATTGTGTTCTTTCCTGATTGGAAGTTCAATGAAGGCTTTTTTTTTTCTCGTTTTACATGCTTTCACCTACCCCACTCCTTTTCCTTTTGTTCAATTTGCTTGTTATATTTTTTTGTTAGGATGATATGGATTTCTGGCTGTCTCCTACACCACAAAAGAAATCATCACCTAAGGTGAGCCATGTTATTTGGTTGTCTATGCTTTTTGACAGGCCAACAGATACACAGTGAACATTGTTTATGGCAATTTAGTTGTGTTGTTTAAATGATTAACATAGTCAACAAGTTACTAGTTTGAATTGTTGATTAACAGACAAACATTAGGTAAAGGAATGAATGGATGAATTAATTGTGTGGCTCTTTGTTTCACTGACTGACTGATTGATTGATTTTGATTAACTGTTTGACTGACTGACTGACTGACTGACTGACTGACTGACTGACTGACTGACTGACTGACTGACTGACTGACTGATTGATTGATTGATTGATTGATTACTAGTCTGCTGAAGAGCCAAGTGCACCTTCACCCGACAGTTTAGCGGCAGAAAAACCAGCAACAGAAGAAACACTTGCCAAACAATCTGAGGTACATTCTACAAGTGTATAGATTAACTGTCACATTAACTCAGTCTCATCTAGCCCACAAACAATACAGCTGCTTTTCATTGTTCATAGCCGGTTTGGAAAGGTGGTCATCTTTTCAGTCATAACACTTTTTATTTTTTGTTATTATAAACTGCTCTTGAATTTTTCATACAATTTTTCGATTTTCCTCCAACAATCACAGACTTTTACCTTTGGTTTGTAAACCTAGCAACGTGAAGAAAATTATTCCTTTTCCAGAAATAATTAATTGTCAGGGTGAAAGTGAGAATGTGTTATCGTGCCGCTGTATGCTATAGAGAATGTTGTAACGATGCACCTGAGTTCAAATAAATTCTATCATCCCCAGCCCACCCCACCCCCTTCTCGGAAATGTTCCCAGAGCGGCAACTTAGAGTTTTTTTTGTACCCTTAGAAAACTGAATCTAAAGAATCCAAACGCAAACACCGCAAAGATAAATCAGACAAAAAAGAAAAACATGAAAAAGAAAGGAAAAAGGAGAAGAGAAAAAGCAAGAGTACTGAGAAGTCTGAGCCAGTGGAGATATCAGCAGCTGAACAGGAAAAACCGGATGAGCCATCAATCATGGAGTTAAAGGAAGAGGCGAAACAGGTTTGTTGACAGATCACAAAACAAATGGGCTTCCCTTGTTGCCTTGGGGAAGGGGGGCAATTAGTTGAGGGGAAATTTGACTAGGGCATGTACCCTGTGTATTTTTACATGTCGATATACAGTAAGTATTGGTAATCGTATGAATGTGAGTGTAATGAAGGATTTACACTACAAGTGATATTTGAAACTTACATGAGCCTTTAGGTGAGTGCAATTTGAAAGAATAGTCAAATATCAAGAGTAGTGTGAATCCTTAATTGTTTGAGCTTTCATACGATTGCTCATTTATTCTATGACTGAGAAAATTACCAATGCACCTGTATTGATTTGCAGTGCAGTGCAAATTTAAAAGTTAAGGATAAGTTGACTTGCTCTCAGCCAGTTAGGCGGAGTAAACTTTTTGTTGTCGTCTTTTTTGTGTAACTTTATTTTTCTCTATCATCATCGTCCCTTCTTTTACAGCCGATCATCACAACGTACAAAGTTCTGTCAGAAAGCAGTTCTGTTAGACTGGTAAGGAACTAACTTTTACCTGTGATGAACTTCTAATTTCCCTTTATGTTATTACAATGTTGAGCAGACCGGTGATAAGAACAAAGAATACGATCTATAAATTGCCTAACCTTCTGCGTGCATTACAGGCCTATGAAGCTAGTTAATGGAAGATTTTGATGTCATCTTGATCTATCAGCAAATTCTCAGAACTAACATTGAAAGAAATGTGAGACATTCGGCCAGAAGAATAGATATTTTGATATTGGTAGTTGAAGGGTTTATTTTTGTTTCAGATGTACGAGACAAGAGTGACTTCTCAACATAGAAATCAAGTGGTAGTTTCCATTATTTTCAGGTCAGTACTGTTTTATTTATCAATTTTAACAGCGTAGTGTAAAGTTCATCTTGTCCTCTACTCTCTTCTCCTGAGCAGCTTGTTTAACTGTAAGACTTAATGGGNGAAAAAGAAATCAAACTCATTTGTCGCAAACAAGGACCGCACTATTATGTTTATTTACATGTTTAATCAAGTAAGTGTATAAACTGAACTCGTGTTTGATATTCTGACAGGATCTTCAAATGAAGGGCAGTTTGCTTTCAATGTGGAGAGTATAGTCATGGCTCAGAAGCTACGAGGCACATTAACTTATGTCATCAAGGTATACTTTGTTCCTTTTTATTATTTTCAGTTATTTCTGTTCCGCGGTGGAGGAGAGGGAGGGGGTCAGAGAGACTAGTCCCTTGTAGGGTACCCCTGGTAGAGTTTTTGATTCAAACTTTGAAATTCCTGTATGAAGTGTTTTCACCGAAAGGTTGTAGTACGACCTAAACGTATCACTTTGTTATTTCATTTTTTTATCCTGTCCTTTTTATTGTAGGATGACGAAGGCTCAACGAGTGAAAAGATGGATTTTTCTGTCTTTTTACCGTGTTCTTCGTTTCTGATTGCCACTCCATTGTCGAGGTATGGATGCATCAATTGATTTGGTTATTTTGTTAGCCAGGGTTGCCCCAGGTCAGGAAATGGTCAGGGAAAAAAATTCTTCGAGGTCAGGGGAAAATCAGGGAATTTTATTGTGAGTCAGAGAAAATTGGCATTTTGAAGAAAAGCGAAAGAAAATTGAAATAATTGAACACAGCTGATTTAATACCATCGAAGGCTTGAAGAAACATTTGTGGTCACTCTGATCTCAACGATATTTTTCCTTAATGAAGAAGGAAAATTTGTTGAAAACTTATTAGTCTTAATGAACGAGTAGAAAGCACGGCTGTAAGTTGAGTCGCTAGTAGATCTAGCATGTTGTATTTTTTATCAGGGAAAAGTCAGGGAATGTTGAAAAGTGATGCCCGTGGCAACCATGTTAGTGTTTTAGTCTTAAATCTATTGATATTGCACCTTACTTGTGTTTTTTGAAATTTTTCGTTGTGCTATACTTATGTATACGTAATTTTCTATTGGGTTTCTACAGCACGGACTTCGCTAATCTTCTAGGAAGTGGAACGTTAGCTAACAAGAGTTCAGTAAAGGTACGTTTTGTTTACTTGTTGATATGTCGTCTGACCACCATTGCATGGAGGATATTTAAGATGTTAAAACCGCGAGGAACTGGGGAATTCTACAAAGCTAGAAGCGGAAAGGCCTGGGTAATAGCACAACCTTTGGACCGGCGTGCAGTGCGTCCTAAGATCACACTGTGGTAACTAAATGAAAACCCACATTCTTTTCTCGTTGTAGTGTTAGAATTTAAGTGATTACCATTTATCTTAGCAATTTGCAACGTTTTGTGTCTTTTCTTTAAATTGCGCGGATCCAACTCGGCAAGACTCAAACCAAGGCTGGCTTAGGCACGTTTTTGTCTCCGGAGTTGGGATTCAATTTTTTTTTGTAATCGAATTGAATTCCTTTATCTTTATAGAAAGGCGGTGCTTATTATCGTTTTTGTTTCACATGATTTCAAATCGTGTTCAGTATTCAATTTCGTGGGTGTTGGATGAAACCATACTCTGAACTTCAAGCGTTATAATCTGCAATGGAATTGTTTTCTTGCATCATTTCCTATATTTTTTGTACCTACCTCATCCTTCCGATTTTCTGGTATCTATTCCGGTCGATGTTACCCGGGGAAATACCCTGGCGCCATGTTGCTTGTGTCGGGGGATTAGCAGTTTCCGCAAATTCTTAACTTTGGTGACCGACTGTACACTAGTATTGTTTTGGTTTTGTCATGCAGAGAAAATTTTTATTATATTTTAAGTGAACAAATCATTACACCAGCGCAAGAATCTCGACTGGAAAGCAAAAATGACGGTTAAAGTAGTTGCTGTTCTCGCACCGCCTTGTTTTCTCCCATGCTGTTCTCTGTTCTCTTCTCGGTGAAAGACCCTTGAGGGCTAACGGGCAAGCAGATATCGTTAATAAAAGCCATTAGCTGATAAAAGTTACGACGGGTTTTCTTGTTTCTCTTGTGCTCAATGCTTGTACTTAACGTCAGTTATTGTGAACAAAATACAATACGTAATCATGATTTGATTCTTAGCTCTTGCGCTTCTTGCTTGATAAGGACAGATTCTTCTCATCCCTTCTGTAAGAACTGTATGGAGAATTTTTATATTGGCACCAAGAGAATCTTTTTAATTCAGTTCAACGACTGTTAACCTGTGTTACCGCCGCCCTCCCGGAAAGAAAAAAAATCAGAGAGAGCGTCTGTGTGTTGCCGCTGATATTTTTTCGGGGAGGGCGGATGTAGCACAAGCTATGCGGCTGAACTGTTAATTCCCTCTCAAGCTGATATTTTTTGTTTGCAGGTCACAACTCCAGAAACAACAGGGTTTAGATCAATTATCACCAGGATTTGTGTCCTGTTACATTTTGCAGGTAAACAACATCTATACTGTAATTGTCTGTATCCTCTTCCCCGACCACGCGCGCACATTCAACGCGTGTCTCGCGTGTCGCTCTTCCTCCGCTCTCTTTTCAGAACCCCGCTTTTACCTGTTGACAGTGAAACTTTGGCCCAATCCACTGGTAAAAATCTTTATCCTTAAACCATACGAGTAACGAGTTCGGTAAACTCCTCTGCAAATGCGCTTAGGGACGATGAAATTTGTTGGCGTTGCGTTGCGTTTCGACACGCCCACGCCTCGAGGAGGCGAGAGTAAATTCCGCTATGCTCCATTGTAACACTTTTTTCTCGTATCGCAATTTACTGTAAATCGGTTTATCAGGAGACAAACTGTCTACCATCATATGATGGTGCAGATCGTATCTTTTGAGAGTGTCGGAAGGTCTCCAGCTGTGATCTTGTTTGACTTAGCGTAGCAACCAACTTGAAATTAGTAACATTTGCAGCAAAAATCAATATCATTGCAATATAACGAGTGTTTACTTCAAACCAGACATCAGGACGCCTGTCGAGTGCACAATATTGTCGGACAATTTGTAAGGGTATGTTAATTGGTAGATTAGTTAGGAACTATATTTATATAAACTTTAACAAATGTTAATTGGATAAAGAAAGCTGGAAAAACATAGATATTCGACTCAGAAGTTATGATCATGTCATTATATTACAATGATATCGATTTTTGCTTCAAATTTTACTAATCTCAAGTTGGCACAGGTTATTCGTTCAATTCACCAAAAATAAACCAAACAAAAATTGTTACTTCCGCCAATACAGTCATGATTTCTCTTGGTTGTGCATTCTTCTGACCAAACAAAGGCGTATAATGATCTTTCCTTTTTATTTAATTGTGTGTTGTAACCTGATTTTCTAAATATCCGCTTAACGGATCGTATGAAAGGAAATTGTCTCAAGTGCCTCGTGATAAATTTTGGAAGGCTTCCAGTACAGATGTCATTTTTTGTCTCTGCAAGCATTCACTATGTTGGACCAGGTTGGCTATCGTATTGTTTAATTATTCGTGCGTTATATTGGTATGTTGGTGCTGTGGTAAAAAATAAACTAAAATAGGACTGAAAAACAACCCGAATTGCGGGCAGATGTTGTTGGAATGCAATTCATCTTGTTTTGTTTTGACTAGACTTGTGTTCGAATTCCATTTAAGCTGCAGATGTTTCCTCTGGTTTACGTTTCGTTTGACTTTCAAGAACGTCTTGGAAGAACGAAATCAACTGAAATTCGTTCTTCGAATTGTCTTAAATGAAACCCAGGCCTAGTTCCCAGCTCTCATTATTTAGCCGCGCGCTCAATTCAAGGGGGATTGGCAAGCAAGTGCATTCACCTTACTGTAATATATTACTTTGCTTTCCTTTTTCTAGTCGTAGAACAAGTCGATAACAGTGCGTCCTTATACGCCAGTTCAATTCAAGGACATCATCTCTGTGTGCTTGTAAAACAGCTACCGGTAAGTTAATGTTTTATTGTTTAATGCAATCCCTTTTGGGGGCGTCACGCTATCTTTCTGACTCAGCAATCATGAGGTTGATGATTTTCTTAAATCTCATCAATTGCCTCCTTGATATTTTTGATATTGTGGGGAAAAAGCAGTTTTTTATCAGGAAGATGTTCTTTTGTTTTTCACAGGATCACTCGGTGTCTGTAGATGGTAAAAGTACAGACTTCTCTCTTGTATCGAGTGTGCTTGAAGAAATGAAATCACTTCTACTAACGCCGCCATGACACTGAAGACCATCTATAAATCGACAAGTTGGAATGAAAATCGAAATCAGAGTGAATCACCAGGCCGTTCACGGTACAGAAAGCCCGAGTATAAGGAAGAAGGCGACTGGGCTACAGAAGAGATTAACATTTTAACTGTGATATCAGGGGACAAAATAATTAACTAATTTCAATGTGAATTTTTAACAATTGTCAGGGAGAGTTTGTACTTACACATAGATATCTGAAACAATAGACCCGTGCCAAGAGGGTCATTGCGTTCTTTACAGGGCAATAGTTGCGTGCAAGATAAAAAAAAATTAAATGCTGTGCGCATTCCGAGGCCTTTGAGAGTAACTACCATATGGAACAGAAACTAGTGTGGGAGGGGGGGTGGGGAGGGTGCTCGGTGCTCTGCAGATAATTGTATGGTCGTATCGATAGAATATCTCCTCGCTCTGTCCCCAATCCTAGAATACGCATGTCCATCTTGTTGGCCATTCATCAATATATTTTCACAGTCGAAATGATGTCGGATGGAAGCCCTTCAAGTGATATAGGGACAAGCCCTTCCCAGTCCCCCTGTGTAGCAGCCTAATTAAACGATCGACTCTAATGATCTACGTTTGTGTTAAAAGTGTTTTCAGGTAGGAACTGGATTTGAAATTAAATCCTCAATA